TCAAGTGATGTGATGTCTACAGTAAGAAAAGAATCATCAATAACTGCTTTGGAATGTGCACTGCGTTCCGACGGTAGTGCTAAGCAAACAGTTAAATTTAAAAGCGCGGTTATAAGATCTAACAGATCTTCTTGTTCCAGAACTTCGAAACTGAAATTAACCCAAATTTTAAGAACACGCCTAATAAGAACTAACATAACCTCAGGTATGGAGTCACAGAGCCGAGAAGCCCTCCTTGAGAAAATGTCATCTAGACAACTTTTTGAAGGAATGTAGTGAACTCTGGTAAAACGTAAACCTTGAGTCCATACAGTCCAATAACCAAATGCCTGTTTGAAGGACATATTTCCACATAAACGGAGAGCTTACCTTATTGCATGGTTCTCCGTTGTATAGCTACATGTAAATTACGTTTAAAAAACGCTTGTAAATAGCGCGAAAGTGCTTGTTTCAAGACATTTTGAGGGCAAGAGAGGGGAGAATTGAAGTTGGTATTTGGAAGAATGGAGTAGTGGGGAAGAGCGTTTAGAGAGAAGAACTTGGAACTCTCTAGTGTATAACTACAGTACAAGAATACGTTTTAAAATTTGTTAGTTACTCGTTTATTCTTTGAACTTTGCATCGTTTCTTGTTTCTCAGGCGATTCAGGGTGGGATCTTTTTTTTTTTTTTTCTTTAGCAATTTTTCACAGGCCACTTTCTAGAATTATTTATTCCTGCTCTCAGATCTGAACTATAACTCTCACAGTACAAACTGAAGACACCCATAAAACAAGTCACATTCAGAACAGTTTATATTTTTATATTTTTATTATTTCTGAGCCGATTAAGAAGGGACGTACATTGCTAGGACTGGGGCCTGATGTGAGACGTATTACGAACGACTTTTAAAAATTGTTGTTAAAACTCATGCCTGAACTGAACCACCAGAGGACCTATCGGCAATAGAATATATTGGCGTCATCCTTAATTTTTCCTTTGAGTGCAAATCTAAGAGGCGCTTTGATCATCAGTGGTAAAAACACCAGCGTGTTGAATACCCTAAGTGATAAACTGAAAAACTACAATTTACACCCCTAAGTGAGACGACGAGTATCATCCTCATCTCAGTCGCCTTTGTCACATCGGAATCCACCCTCCAGGTAAATACATCACATTTGTACCTCGGTTAGACGTGTTTATGGGTCTTCACGTTAGATAAACAGTTAACCACTCCAGTAGCAAAGATTAAAGCTGCAGGGCAGTATATGTGCCAACGTCTTGATCTTTTCTACTCCTATCCTTTTCGCTTGACACCGTGTAAGAATACTCACTACCAATCCTTCGCGGTCGAACGTTAAGGGCTAGTAATCGGGTCAGGCCAGCGTTCCTTAGGAGTTCTTTGCGTATGTCTTTCTTATGCAGTGCGTAGACTATAGGATCAATCATGGAATGACCTTTTAGAAGAAGCCGTGAAATGTGGACTGCGGTTGGCGGAACTGAGCAGCGGTTAAACGCGGAACAAATCTCTCTCCATGAGGCCAGGGCCCAGCAGACAATAAACAAAGGAATGACTACGCAGAACGCCTTGATGGTCGAATTTGCGCGCCATTTAGTTTCACTTCCGGCTGAATTGCTCCTTCTTAAGCTTCTTTGCATGGATTTTATATGCCTAACGTGTCTTCGACTGATTTTAAAGATGTGAATGTACGCCAATAGCATCAATGCGCAAGGCAGTTGCTCGAAAACACTAACTTTTATGGCGACGAATACTTTTTCTGCTTGCTTTTTCTTTGTCTCGGCTATGGGAAGAAAGCTTAGAATGAAAGGAATGACGCACACAACCAGAGGAAAAAGCCAGCCTGTCACCAGTAGCTTGATCGTCGATTTTCGTGGAACGAGAAGCGTGTATTTGAAAGGAAACACTACGGCAATGTATCTATCCATGGTCAGAAAACAAAGATTGGTTACAGAAATGTAAAGGAACAAGTCGTAGACTTTCTTGTTCACATCCCAGTTGCATGGAACAGTAAAAAAGTAGCAGATAAACAACGATGGGATCATGATTATTCCAACTGTTAGATCCGAAAACGCCAGCGACAAAATTAGCCAGTTTCCAGGATTTCGAAATAACCTCTCACGTTTGAGTATTATAAAGATTACCACTCCGTTGCAAACTAATGTGATGAGACCAGTCATGGCACTTAGGACCCAGAAGTATGTTGGGACTGGGCCCCAGAAGAAATCTAATTTTTTGGAGTCTATGTTGCTGTTGGAATCCGCTGACATGATGATGGTAAATGTTGCTACGTCCTGTAATGACGGAACTCCTAGTTGCGATGTAATTCCTGTTTGGAAACATAATTAAAACAGTAATACCATTGGCAAGTTTACTTTCAGTAGAGAGAGAGCGAGAGGGAGACTGAGCAATGTCAACAATGACAACAGTCACAAGCAGCACGGATACAACATCAACAACAACAACAATAACAAAAACAATAACAACAAAAATACCGAAAACAACAACCACACAGTGACAACTGATCCGCGCGTTTTACTCTCCAGCCCTTCTCGATTAGATCTGTTACGCAACCGCGCACGGAGCCGGGCTACAAGGTCGAATGCAACAAAAGCGATTAGGTAAGTGATTATTCCTCTGGGTTAGCTGAATATGACCTTCACGAAAGCTTTGGCCATTCATAAACGCTCAAGAGATTCTGTTTAAAAGTTTTGTTTTTTACGGTGTAGACGGGCGAGAATGAAGCAAAAAGACTGCTACGCTTCATCTAATTAATTTTCTGTTCACAACCCTTACATTCTGAGTTTTTTCAAAATGAAAGGAAGCCAATAAGTGGCTGTACATTACTTCACCGAAATACACTCCAGTGGTAATGCATGTGCACGCCCTCGCAACAACACTGAAGACTTGATAAGCCCCGACTGTCTTACGTGTATTTGTCCACAAACGACATAAATGGATGGACGAGACTCCATAGGGCGAAATTACAATGTTTTCGTTATCAGTAATGGTCTCCCTCGCTACATACAGCTCCATACTCAGGCGAATTCACAAGAATTCATTTAATCATTTTCAGTTGCTGCTAAAAGCGTTCTTCTTTTTATCAGGGGATCGCCAAGGATAAATACACTCTTTATCACCATAAACAGTCAGGGGAAAATTTCGAGAATGAGAGAGAAGTCAATGGCAAATCTCACATGAGGTCACCAGGGCTCTGACTGACTGTTGCATTGACAATAAGAATAAGAATAAGAATAAGAATAAAGAAGTTCTCGAGTGCATCAAATCAGAGATTGGGTCGTTCTCGGTATTATTAGCGCTTTCGTTCCCTTAGTGCATGAATAATACTAGCAAACGTAACGACGAAAAGGTCGTCAGGGGAATCATTCTTTTCCCAAACAGATGGTGCTTGATCGAAAAACGCAGACAACGCGGCCAAAGATTCTAAAAAATAGATATTGAACCAACCTACCCTTGATATGATATTGCCAGCCCTCTGAAACGCTTCCCTCTCTTTCAGGAAGGTTGGCGGCGTTGCGAAATAATGCTAGTATTTCCAAGTAAACCTTCAATCTTTTAAAACGCCTGCCGTTTCACATCTTCTGTCAAGAAGGTAAACAAACAATTTGTATTTTGCGAAGTGTCACTGAAAGGTACTCAAGGTGCCATCAAAAAATGACAGCTAATTTTAATAATCTGCCGAAGTGAATAGGTGTTGTCAGTTTCTTTTTTGTCTAAATTTGGTGACAATTACGCGCAAAAAGCTTTCAGTGACAAGCGCTCACGTGTGTGGTAAGGAAGAAGAAAACTTTTACTCACATTAGTATAAAGTGTAACTAAACTAAAGTGCTTGAAGCAGTATTGAAGAGGTTGTGGTTTGTTAATGTAAATGTTTTGCTTCCAAGAGTTTTGGAGTGCTTACGGCCTTCGGGAGCTCAGTTACTAGTAGTTACCGTCGGAAGTGATTTTTCTACCATTTTAACGAACATGTTGAGCTGTAGACGCTTTAGATCATAAGTCGATCGTTTGCGGAATTGTGGCTTTTCAAGCGCAGTTAAAGTTTAGGTCGCCATTCTTTTTTCTTATGTTACCAAAATGTGGTTACCTGGGAGACAAAGTGAAAGTGGGATATTCTATGTAATTAAGAGCTGTCGAGAAATTTACTTTGGCTCTGTTTTAAAGCGTATCTACAAATCATGATATTGACGATAACGAAGTATTATTCGAGAAGAAGGATTAAGTAATTCACAAATATAATGATATTTTGGTTTCGTTCGCCCATTTTAAGTTCTTTCTGTAAAAAAAAAACAAAATATCATAATCTCAAACAAGTAGTTCCTATTTCACCTTTTATTTTATTTTAATTTATTAGTATCATTATTTTTTATGACGGGGAGTTTTAATTTTCGACTAAAATGTTAGTGTCAGTAAGATATAATGGGGACCAAACCGAAGTAAGGTTTGCCATTCCCCCTATGATACTTGCGCTCAGAGAATCATGGTAGCTGTATTCATCACGCGCTCGACATCCTCAAGACATTGGATACTACTACCATGATTCCCTGCGCGCGCGTCTCTTAGAGCCGAATGGCGTATTATAACAGGAGGCGCAGTGGCGGGTTAATGTCTGGTTATAAAGTAACTCACACAGCGCTGTGCCTTTAAATTGTGAGCTAGATTTCAAACCTGAAAATCCAGTCCGCTTCAAGGACCATTGTGATCCACAGTTCAAAATATCAGATATATAGTTATCATTACATTACATTACATTACATTACATTACATGATATCATTTTTGTAGTTTGAGCAAAGCCGCTGACAGCTGGTCGACCAACCCAGCGTTCGGGACGATAAAGGTGATACTGCTTCAGGGCGATCGCAATCGCTTGGATGGCTTCAAATTTAACGCTGGACGATTGTGAACGATCATAAACCAATTTATAATCAATCCTAGCCTGCGATGAACAGGATCATAGTGAAGGCGAAAAAAATTCGGTGATCACGAGCGAAGCGAAAAAAAATTGCGAGCGCGGGGCAGGTGGAAGTTTTCCCCGCCGTTTTTTCCTCCAGACCGCTCTCAGCTAGCTCCGTTCGGTCATATTTTTTTTCGCCCGGCGGCCCATTATCTCTTTCTTTCGTGGGCTCACAAGGAAACTTTCATATTGCTATAAATTTCGTCGCTCACCCCTAAAACATTCAAATCTTTAAAAATCTACCCGTACTCAGATTGGACATTTTTTGTGTACCAAGAACATTTCTCAGTTTTCTTGCTTATAGCAGACTGCTGATCTGTCTAATGTTCATTCAGTTGTGAAGTGTACTACCTCCCTTTGTTTTGGTCTTAGCAAGGCGGCTTTTTCAGTAAACCTTTGCCAGGGCAATGATAAATTTGTAAAGTACAGATCACTACAACTTACCTAATCACTAAGTTACACCTGCAGTACTGATGTTACAGGTTGCTTCATAAGGTTGATAATTTTATCCGATGGATTTCGGTCCCCCTTTCTGTCTAAAACGAAATACCGTGACGTTCTCAACCGGCTGCACCCGCTGGAACCGAGCAACCGGGCAGCTGAAACATTTTGAAAAACATCCAAATTTTGTTTGAACGTCTTTTTCGCTATCTCCTTTTGATTATACCTTCTGTAAATAAATTTAAGAACTATTCCCGCATCTCAATTCTAACTGAGAGATTTAAAAGAGGTTTATGAACGTTGTATAAACATTTTGTTACAGCTACGCCAGAGAAAGTCCATAAATATAGATTTATATATCGTTTACACCTGTCACCTCCTATTTGTGAAGAAAGAATGAATTCCAGGTATAAGAATATGATGATTTTTTTTCCTGTCAGTTTTTTCCGCTCTCGAGTTATGCCAGCCGGGAGTCGAACCAAAGACCTTCTGGTTACTGGCCCAGGTGCCGTCTAAACTGAGCTTGAGGAGACTCGTGAGAGCAAAGGCTTCCATTCTGACATGGTCAATTCATGTGACAAATAACCTACATACTGCTAAGGGTAGAATGTCGATAAGTGGCATATTTGCAATTATAACAAACTGAGGTGGTGGATTTTTAACCTGTTAAATATATGAGATGATTTTTTTCTGTCAGTGACTGACAGGCATGTTCGAAAATAGAGATTGTACCTTTTTCATTCCGGGCCCAAGACAATTTTGTCTAAACGATTGCAATATGATTGGTCTAGACGAAAACCAAAACAACCTGATGACTGATCTAGCCGGGAGGGACTGAAGATTGAAGCTTAGTTTGTAGATCGAGCCCGAATGTTTTTCTGGAACATTTCAGCCTTCTGTAAAGTTCTCAGCCAGCCTTGTCGGGAATACGAAGTAAACAAATTGAAAATAGTAATTAAGTTAATGGTTTCATTCTGGCTCCGTCAAAATTTGTTGCTGGATCGAGTGTTTAGAAGGTGGTAAATGGGGGGGTATAGATCACGTTTCACGGAAAATAAAGCAGCCCTTTCACAATTCACGAAAAATTCAACATTGGCATTTCACGCTTCACGGAAAATAAAAGAGAACGTTTTGGAAAATCACGGTTCACAGCGACTATGGAAATCACGATTCACGAGGAAAAAA